ATAATAATAATAATAATAAATAATAATAATAAAGAACAAAATAAAAAAAGAAACCATTGACTGGAAGCTGGAGGAGGTGCTTTAGGCAGAGGACCTCCTTTAGGGAGGCAGAGAGGACCTCCTTTAGGGAGGCAGTGGCAGTGGACCTCCTTAAGGGAGGCAGAGGACCTCAGAGCACCTCCTCCAGGCTCTCCCTCTGACCAGGAGGCGCAGCAGCTGCAGCTATGGATGCAAACTGAAGATTTAACCCCATCCTGACCAGAAGCTTTAAAGATCTGGGAGGCGGGCCAGACTCCTCCTCCTGATGGAGGCTGACAGCTGCTCCTGAACCTCCAGGAGGAGAACCCCCCCCCCCATCAGCATAGCTCAGATTCATTCAGCTGTGAGTCACACCCAGGACCAGAACTAGAACGTATAGAGCAGAATAAGCAGGCTTTGTTCTGCTGCTTCTGGGTCTCAGACCTTCTAACTACTAATCGGACCCCCCCCACCCCCGGTACCGACCCGGTCCACTTCCCCCACCCTGAGCCACGCAGAACACAGCTGCTGAACCAAATCAGCTGCGGAACCACGAGGAGAGCAGGGAGCCTGAGGAGGAGTCGGATCAACAGAAGCTCTTTGTCCTCCTCTCTCCATCACACAGCAGCTTCAGTTAGAACCGGGCCCAACCGGACCAGAACCCCTGGCATCGCTCCAGCTCTCGGTTCTGCAGGAACTCGGCTCGCTCCGGTTCTGAATGTTCTGATGGCGGCAGATGAAACAGGGACGGTTTACCTGGCGGACCGGTTCTGTCCCCGCGGAGCAGACGCTGCGTCCTCCTCCTCCTCCTCCTCTGTCCTGTGACTGGGAGGACAGCAGCTGACACTCCTTCAAAATAAAAGCCCGGCTGCTATTTCCTGTCTTCCTGTGTCTTATCTGTAGCTGCTCTGACTTCCTGTTTGTGCTGCTCTGACTTCCTGTTCCAGGCGTAGCTGAAACTCCAGAACCTCGTCCAATCAGAACCCTGCAGCAGCTCTCACCTGACAGAGGAGACAGAACCATGTTCCCGGACCTCTGGACCTCGTCGAACTTGCTGAAGATCATGTTGAGCCTGAAGGAGACAGAAGGAAGTCAGAGGGGAGACCAGAGGACCGCAGACATACGGGTCAGACAGGACACGGACAGGACATGGACAGGACACGGACAGGAAGAGGAAGACTGATTGTGATCGTCTCCAGGACATTTTTGGACTGTTTACTGCTGTTCAATTAGGTCAGTTCTATTCAGTTTATTTCTATAGCTCCAATTCACATCATGTCATCTCAGGTCACTTTCCAGTTCACCAGATCATCCAGTCAGATTGATTCAAAGTTTTCTTTCTAAGGAAAACCAGCTGATTGCATCGACTCATTGACTCTTCAGCAATCCCTCACACTAAGCATGCTTGTAGCGACAGTGGAGAGGAAAAACTCCCTTTGAACAGGAAGAAACCTCCAGCAGAACCAGAACAATCGTTAGGCTAACAGCTGATCACTGAGTTAATTAAGTCACCATTAATGTCTTAGTTTATCACCCATAGGAAGACAGCAGCAGAAATAGGCTTTAAAATGTTTGACGCTACAGCTAAGCTAACGTTAGCTTCAGTGTTTATAGTGAGGAAAGTGAGGCTTTAATAAACTCTGCTTTGAACAGATGAAAATAACCTTTTGTGTTTATAAAAACGTCAGCTGATGACACAGATGCTGGATTCAGAATGAAACGCTTAAAGACAGCAGAGGTTCGCCTGAAGATGCTTTGCTAACGTTCGTAGCCACAGCAGGAAAGAAAACAATGGAGAGTGTTTATTTCCTTAGGATGGCTGAGCCACAGAAAGTGGTGCCTCCTTATGCCACATTCAAAGTGTCTGAAATAAAACTCATCACTTTGGGAGAATCCTGCCTCCATGGTTATCATTCTGTTAACAGAGAGCACTTGAACGCACCGTGACTGAGGCAGCCCCTTCTTTCCCAGGTCGATCCTCACTCGCTCTCCAACATGGCGGTAGATCTCCACCAGGCAGGACATGGCGGCGTCACGGACCTTCAGACCAACACAGAAACACAGCGGAGGGGTTAAAGGAGACACCGTCTGGCTGCACATGAGCCATGGGAGAAATTTTCATGTTTAGTTTCATCAATTCAACATAATGGAGGCGATTCTAAATCCAAAGTTCTGGATTTTTCTAGGAGCTTTTGGCTTCAGGAAATGAAGCTTTTCCAGGATAGAGATTATTTTAAAAACATAAATAAATTATTCATATTACGAGAATAAAGTCATAATATTATTAGAATAAAGTCATAAAAGTTCAGGGGGTTTTCTGGGAGCTTTTGGCTTCAGGAAATGAAGCTGGTGGGCGCGGCTTCCTGTCCTGAACAGGAAGTCAGGCGGCAGTGATGACAGACGTCTGCAGCCAATCAGGAAACAGGAACAACCGAATCATCCAACAGGACAGCGGAGGATCGGATCCCAGCGGGAACTAATCTGCAGCTTCTTCTGGCGTCCCTACTGAGCTGCAGTGTTTAGGTTTCACCAGCAGAGGGCGCTCAAAGATAACTAGTCTGCCTCTGAAATGGATGAACTGAAACTAAAAACCTGAATCTCTGCGCTTTGATCAGGATGTTTCTGTGCAAAACAGGAAAAACTAAAAGATATAAATAAAAAAAAGTGTAATTTGATGAAAAAAATTAATCTTAACAGAAATAGTAGAAAAATAAAAGCATGTAAAAAATAAATTAAAACAAAACACAACTAAAGATAAAAACAGATGAGAGGGAAAAACAAAATGAAAATATAATCATAAAAATGTAAAGAAAATAATGCCCAAAATAAATCTATTGTAGATCTGGTAAGTATGAGTCCTATCTATTCACATAGATCTATGCTTCCTAAAAGGTTTCCTCTGGTTTCTGGTTCAGCAGATGAAACTGAAACTCCTGATCCGTCAGAGATCCAGTTCAGAGCGGCGGCCCAGTCCCTGCTGGGAGGACCTGACCTAGGGGGCGCTGTTTGGAAAGTTCAGCAGTCAAACAGCAATATTTAGGCTTATTAAGCGCTTTTAAGAGAAAAATAAGGAGGTTATTTTTTCCGTGTATTTATTCATTTATAAAAATATCACTTTGTTCAATAAATGAATGAATACTTGGAAAAAAAATAACCTTATTTTTCTCTTAAAACGCTAAATAACCATAAATATTGCTGCTAATGTTTCTCTGCCTAGCTTCCCAAACGGCGCCCCCTAGCTGCGGCCCCACAGCGTCCTACCTGGCTGGTTGGGTCTCCAAGCAGGTTGCAGATGTGAGGAACGATCTTATTCAGCGTCAGACTCTGGGAGCCGAACCTGAAACAAAGAGCAGAGCGGGAGGTTAGGCGGCGGCGGCGATGGCGGCGGCGATGGCGGCGGTGGCGCTTCTGAAACGGCTCCTCCTGCAGCCACTCACACGTTGAGGGTGGAGATGAGGCAGAGGCAGAGTCCCTCTCTGGTCCGGACGTTCTTGTGTTTGAATCCTCCCATCATGCGCTCCCACACATACTGCAGACACACAGCAGGTTTAAGCAGCGCCGCTGATCCGGCCCGGGAACCAGAACCGGGTCAGAACCTACCTGTGGGTTAGCTGACTGGTCCATGATCTTCAGCAGCAGCGCCTGGTCCTGCTCTCGGACCTGGTCCTTGGAGTCTCCCAGTCGATCCATCAGACTCGGCAGGACTGGGACCACAAGCAGAGACGGTCAGATGGTGCATTCAATGACAACTCGTAAACTGGGGTTCCAAACTACAAACGTCAAATTAATTAACGGGAAAACTTTTTTATTTATTACTTATAATCTATATAATTTCCTTCAAGTTTCTTAAATTGTATCATTTTATTTTATTTATTAATCAATATCTGGTCAATAAAATGTTTATTCTATTTCCCAAATAGTTATTTTCATTCATGTTTTTTTTTTAAATCACTTTTAATTATTTTCATTTCATTTTAGACCAATCATCTAATTTCATTATTCATTTAATTGAAATCATCTTAAATGGGACCAGAACTTTGCTCCAGATCAGTTACTTTTTATCTAATTATTACCGTAATAACTGCCTTATACGGCTGCAGTTTGCTACAGCTACTGCTGCCCTGGAGTTGACCAATCAGAGGAGACTGTGATGTCATCGGCTTTAGAAGTTCTCACCTGTTCCCACCTGCGTCCTGAACCTCTCCTGCAGCCGGTCCACCAGAGCTGACAGAACCTCCATGCCTAACAGAACCACCTGAGACAAAAACAAACCGTCATCCAGCTGGAAACCATAGACTTTATATACATGCTTAGATGGCGGCCATCTTGGATCAGACCACAGTTCAGACAGCTGCTGGCAGAATAAATAGGAGGAACCTTTGATCTCATGCTAATCACAGGAAAGACAAGTCAGAGTTTATATTACAATAATCTCTGACATGTTAAAACACCTTAAAAGTTATTTCCTAAATGACCTTTCAGTTAGATTAATATATTTATTCCGATTAAAATGATTTAACTGAAGTCAAACTGGATGAGATAAATGCAAAGTTATATAGTTTGGAACGAAATATAAATATGATAAACACAAAGTTTTATATTATTATATCATAATATTATTTTTTTTACAAATATTATATATTTATAAGGTATATTATTAAGGTAAAATATTATTATTCAGTACTTTTAAGGATTGCCCTTTGATAATGAGTATAATGATCTATAGAGAAAATTTTGTTGTAATTTACAATAGAGAATACAGTTATTATTTTTTATTTTATTTAAATTAATTTTGTTATTATTTTTTTTTTTTTGTCAGACTTCATTTTTTTGTTAATTCATGAATGGAAAATGTATGTTGTGTCAAACTAAAGGTGTTTTTATCTAAACTTCTTCCAAAACTCTTTTCTTAATTAATTATGCATATGTGAACATTTGTTCTTTAATCAGTTAATGTGTGTCATATATAACATATATTTATTTATTCATTCATATTTTAGAATATTTAGTAGTTATGACATGTAAGAGATTATTGTAATATTAACTCTGACCCTTTCCTGTGATTAAAATGAGATCTAAGGCGCCTCCTGTTCATTCTGACAGCAACTGTATGAACTTTGGTCTGATCCAAGATGGCCGCCATCCAGGCACGTCGGCCAGCGTACTATGAGCGTAATGGCTATGCTGGAAACACCCTCTTAACCAATACGACCAATAGGAGCAGAGCAGTGCCGCAAAGGACGCTGGGTAATGAGCACATAACAGCAAAAAGACATGAAAGAAACTACAAACCGAGCCGAAGGACCGACTTTAAAGCAGCAGAAACAGATCATAAAGGAGGAGGCTGCCAGTCTGTGGCCGGAAAATGGCTTTTGGATCGGAACCATGACTGAGAAAGAAGCTCACTCTGCTCTAGAACCTCTCTGAGACTCGTGGGCGTAACCTTCCTTGTCTCGGGGTGGTTCGGGAATCTCAATGAACGTATAGTGAGAGTTTCCCTGCTAACACCGAATCAACACATTCGCATCACCTGAACGATTCAGTTCGGGAACGGTGCAATTTTTGGAACAATTATCTCTGATTCACAGAGAAAACAAACGTAAAATAAAAACTTTTTTACCGGAAATGCCAGAAAAAATCCTTTACAAAATAAAAGCAGCGCATGTCATCAGCCATTGATTTTCTCTGGGGTTATAATTTCTTTAATTTGTTTTTATTTTCTTCAGACTATAAATAGGGTTCAGATTCAAACATTTCCATCTGAATTTATTGAACCAGATCAGGAGAACCTGGAGCTGTTCCTCC